AAAAGAAATAGGAAAAGAAGCGGAATGAAAAAACGCGAAGAAAACAAAAACTTCTAAGAGGCTGTTTGTCTACCTGGGGCACTGTGGGGGGCTTCTCCCGCTATTGAATTTCTCCCTAGTTTGGAGTGCGCCTTTTCCCTCCGCACCCCTTATTCTGCCGGTCTTCCAGACCAGCTGGGGTGAACAGAGCAAGTTCAGCCAGCGCAGCGCGGCCAGGGGCCATAGTTGTGCGGGGTAACTGAAAACCGGCCTCTCGAGCTGGGGGTGTTCTCAGCTCCGAAGCCAGCGCGGAGAAAACGACTACAAATTGGAGGGGTCGGGCAGTTTGGTTCTTTATCTAAATCAAGTCTGAGGGGAAACGGTTTTGTTTTATTTTTAAATGAACTGATCTGAAAAAAATTCACTACCCATTCTGTTGTTTGGCTGGGTGGAAAAACGGTCTAAAAAATAATTTGTGACGCTAAAAGGAGCAACTACCTATTTTTCTCCTTTGTTTTGGGGCACTATTAAAGAGATAGGAAATCTGGAGGGTCACACCCCAGGCCCCTTCTAGAGCCCTTAGAACCCGAACATTGTCCAATCGGTCAATGTCCGTCCTGTCGCTAACCTCTGTCCCAATGGCGCCAGGACCAGCGCGCCTCCCATCGCGGCTGCCAGGCTGCGGGAAAAGCAGGTCCCTGGGGATTAGCTATTGTCCAGGGAAATCCACACCGCCACTCTCGTATTTACTAATATAAAGAAACACACAGAACAAGGATCAGGCTCCTGCTGGGGGTTGGATCTCCCAGCTCAGGGTTGAAGGCCGTTCACAGCCTGGACGTCAACTTAACCAAAGCATTATTATTATTATTATTTTTAGCAAGTAAGAGGTGGAATTTTAAAAAATGCTTTTAATAGCAATCCCGAGAAATAAGTATTTCAAAACAGTTGTACTCAAAGGAAATCAAATGTTCACATTTCTGCGACTGCTTTCAAGTGAGGTTTTGCAAAACCCAGACTACTGAAAAGTTTGGTGGAACTCACGTATCATCCAGCCTAAGGCATTTGAAGCCCTGGTAGGAGCTGAGCGGCTGGAGGACGCAGGGCTCTCTCTTCTGGTAGTCACATGCGATCGAATTCAGGTTAAAATTTAAAGCCCCTGGATCCTGCTCCAGTCGCCAGCCTTTCCATTCTAGAGTTTTCCACCTTCAGCCTGTCGGAAATGCAGCCACGCTGAAACCTGGGAGCCGCGGTAGTGATTGGGGGAGGCAAAGAGGAATGTAATAAAAGTAACTAAATTGGACGAGAACGGTGTGTGGACTTACTTGGTAGCAATTTAAAATTCAGAAGTCTTGAGCAGCAATTTACAACGAAGGATGAAAAAAGAATTCGCACCAACTTCCTGGATTCCTACCCCCCTCCCCCGCAATACCAAACCCTGTCCCCTGCTACCCCTAGGAACACAAGTTCACAACTCAGTTCTGGTGAGAGGAACATACTCTTAGCGACGAGGTGTCATAACCTTTGGGCACCACCGTATTTGACAACGCACCTACCTAACCTGGGTTCAATTCTTCCTCTCCCCTCCCAAACTGGAAGAATGAAAAAGAAAGAAAGAAAAACAAAAACAAAACAAAAAACAGAACGCAAACACTTTCAGGGAAACTGACCTTTAGAAAATAATTTACTTCGATTTACCTGGGGGAGAAAAAAAAAGTGTAAAAATCCATTCTCATAAAACAATTCCTCCTGCCCTAGTTAAATTCTCTCGGCAGCCTTCTGGGGTCACGCCTGTCGGAAGAAATCCCTTTTGTGAGCGAAAGGGAGCGAGACATATATCACGGCTCCTGCGGCGGACGGGCCTGAGGCCGTGCGACTTGCTGCTGACAGATTGGCGCCGATAACCCCACGATGTTCATTTCCAGTCCCTTTGCCCGCTAAGGACCGTATCAGTTTGTACACAGCTGTGATAACCGCTTAGAGGGAGCGAAGGTGTGTGTGGGTGGGGGAGGAGAGGCAGTATTTCGAACTGGGTACAGGGAAGGTGCCCCCGCCTCACCACACATTTCCAAAGACTTATCTGCGACCTACCAGAAGTTCTCCAGGGAAAGCTCAGATCAAACGCGATAGCAAACCTCGGAGGGCGTCCCCTAACGCAGCTGGTGTGGAAGCCCGTCTCCATCCTGTACACCTCATAGACCAACCTTTCCGAACACGACGACCCCGAGTTAAAAATTCCTGAAGGTCAGGCGGGGAATCTCATGAACTCAACTCCCCAAGAATTTGGTATATATTTTAAGAGCGGGGTAGAGCTAGGTAGCTGGGCACCTGGGTTTCTTCTTTCCCAGATCCTGGGAACCTCAATCCCCGACGGCCACCTCTACCTGAACTCAAGCATCTTGAGATAGGGTTAAGGAAAGTTTAAAATGGGTCACACGCAATTACAGAGCACAAAGCTCTTTTAATGTGGGGGGAGGAGAGGGGAAGGGTGGCGGGCAAAAGCACTTTTCTCCTTCATTCTGGGGGCGCGCTGACCCGGGAACTGGCGCGCCACTCCAGCCTCGGCGGCGGCGCGGGACTCTACACAGCCAACTCTCCCGCGCCAAGGTCCTCTCCTCCTCCCCTGTGTGAGTGAGTGTGTGTGTGTGTGTGTATGTGTGTGTAACTGGGGGCGCGGGAGGGTGCTCCGCCGCTGGATGGGTGTGGGTAGCCAGCCAGGTCAAGCGTTCAGTCCCCTCAGCCCCTCCCCCGGCGTGCCTGGGCTCGGCGCCCCCTGGGTGGACTCGCCCCCACACCCAGGCCGGTGCTCGCAGCTCAGCCCACACCCGCAGGCTGTGCGGCGCTTATTGTCTGCCTGGTTCTCCTCCCTCTCGCCGTCTCCTCCCCACTCTCTTTTCTCTCCTCCCCCCGACCCTCCTCCTCCTCCTCCTTCTCCTCCTCCTCTTCTTCACCTCCAGCGCCCAGCTGCTTGCAGAGCGCAGTTCCGACCCACAGCCTGGCACCCTTCGGTTAGCGCTGTTTGTTTAGTGCTCGGTGAGTCCAATCAGGAGCGCAGGCTGCAGTTTTCCGGCAGAGCAGTAAGAGGCGCCTCCTCTCTCCTTTTTATTCACCAGCAGCGCGGCGCAGACCCCGGACTCCCGCTCGCCTGCTGGCGCCCTCGGCCTCTCTCCGCGTCCGGGAGCACCGACCCACAGCCTGGCACCCTTCGGTTAGCGCTGTTTGTTTAGTGCTCGGTGAGTCCAATCAGGAGCGCAGGCTGCAGTTTTCCGGCAGAGCAGTAAGAGGCGCCTCCTCTCTCCTTTTTATTCACCAGCAGCGCGGCGCAGACCCCGGACTCCCGCTCGCCTGCTGGCGCCCTCGGCCTCTCTCCGCGTCCGGGAGCACCCTCCGCTACGGCTGTTCGTTCTCCATGAGGCGCCCGCCCGAGTTTCGGCCGCTTGTTCTCTTGCTTGCTCTTTCCACTCTCCTCCCCTCCACCCCTATCCGTGGCGGGCCGCTCGGCCTCCAGGTCTCCGGCTCTCTACTGGTCGCAGTCGGCTCCGAGCGTGTCTCCCTCCGACCCTCCCGGCCGGCCATAGAGACTCCCAGGTTCCCTGGTCACCGCGAACCAACTTCTGGTGTCTTTTCCTCCCTCCGAAGCGCTTATCTGAGCTCAGCCTTATCTCCGAGTTATCTCGGCGCAAGGGAGCTGGGAGTCAGACTGGCAGAGAAACTTCTTTCTTGCTATCTAGTCCGGGTCTCAGTGTAGGCATTAATTTTAGTGAGATTATCTTCGATCGGCCGAAGCAATTTGGAAAAGCAGCCCAGAGGGGGCCAGCTCGGCTGCGTTTCGCCTCCGTTCCCCACCCCCTCCGAGTCTGCCTGTCATTCTTCCTGCTCTCGGCTTTGGGGTGGCCTCGGCTCCGGGGCGGTCTCACGCCCCCCTCTTGCGTTTCCCCCTCCTTTTCTCAGCGCTCCGCTCCACCCCGCTACGTCCGATTCCGGAACGGTCTGGCCTTTCCTCGGCTGGGGATGATTGCGGTGGGCCGTGGTGGCCTGGTCGGCGCAAACGCGCGCGCTGCTGGCTGCAGACTCAGGCCGCGTCTAAGGTGTGCGGCGCGGCAGGGACATCGGTGGGGCGTGAGAGTCGCACTCCGCGTGCTCCTCGCACTGTCTCTGCCCGGAGGATCCCAGGCTGCGGGTCTCCGCCCCAGCGCCCCTCGTTACCCTGGCTGGTTGTTTTTCTCCTGGTGCTCGCGTACAGTTTGGCAGTTCGGGAAGCTCTGGGCCAGCCAGAGTGGGAGAAAGCTGCGGTTTCGTTTTCGGGGACAGGTTGCTTCCTTGCGATAAGTATTTTCGCGCAGGGAACCTCACGTTGAGGCTCCTGGAGAGGGGCACCGCAGGGAGGCTGGGCATGACAGCATCGACACGCACGACTCTTTTGTGTGCCTTTGGCCCGCAGGGGGCCACTTTGGGGAGGAAGCTCTGCCAGCTTTGCGGGCACCTCTGGGATCTGGCTCGCGCGCGGAGGAAGGATGCTGCGAAGGGAGTGGGCGGGGAGAGCGAGGGACCCAAACGGTGCGGCGAGCGAGGGTAGCATCCTGGCCCTTGCGGGGACCTGTGGGGCTGGGCAGGCTCCAGCCCTCCATTAACCTTCTCCCTGATTCGCGCGCCCTGGCCAGAAAGGCGGTCTTTGAGGAGTCTCAAGAGCTGGGAAAGGGAATGCAGCTGGAATGGTGGACAGTTTGAGCTTTCGGTAACCCTTCTTTATCTCTCCTCCCATCCCTGCTTCCCCACCCCCATCCCCACCCCTCCTCAGGAGCTAGAAGTCAGGTTGGAGCGGCGCCGGACGGTGGATGGCCTTGACTGACGGCGGGCGGGGCCTCCGCGC